CTGCAGAAAGCCCTTTCTGCACAGTGTCCAGCTGTGGGACTTCTCATGGCCTCCCAGCCTCGCTGCTGCCTTGGACCACAGGTGACTCGGGTGTGGGCTGAGTCAGGCAGTTGCTGCAGCACCAGCGCCCAGAGCTCATAGGCCTTGAGCTGGCTGAGTTCACAGGACTCTGGGCACCAGTGCCAGGGGAGGGCTCACAGAACCTGGCTCCCCAGTGCCCTCAAGTATGTGACCTTGCACAGGACCCTGAGCCTCTGTCGAGCTCATTTGTGGAGTGACGGCTCTCACAGCCTGCTGTGACATCGCCCAGGGCAGGGGCTGAGCCCGGGCTTCCTGGGCTATGGGCCGGGTAGTAGGAAGGTCCTTCCCGGGGGACCTTCCAGCCTTTGGGGTGCAAGACACTGCCCTGCCGCCGCCCTCCACACCTGGCCTGTGCAGCTCGTGGAATTCCTGCCAGCCATGGGTGGAGGCCAGGCCTTTGCCTTCAAGCCCAGGAGGCTGGGGGCCTCCAAGGCCAGAGACAACCACCTGGGCTCCAGCCAATACCCGCTGTATCACCAAGGCCAACCCCATCCAGGGGATTGAACTGGGTCGTCTCCACTGTCCCTTCCTTTTGTAAACTCAGGGGTTCCCTGTGATTCTAGTCCATAAACACTGAGTGGCAGGGGGCTTGGTTTCTCCAGTTGTGATGGTGAGTCTAGCTGCCATGTACTCAGCACCCATTAAGCGCCCACTGTTCTGTGTGCGCCGTCTGCAGTCTTCACACCAAGAATTTGTATTTATCCACATTTTACAGGGAACAGTACTGAGGCTTATAGATGTGGTAGCTCACACCTATAGTCTCAGCACCTTGGGAGGCCGAAGCTGGAGGCTCATCCGAGCCCAGTAGTTTGATCACACCACTGCACTCTAGCCTGGGTGACAGAGCAAGATCTGTCTCTTAAAAAAAATGAGGCTCAGAGAAGGTATCTGATGAACTCAGGGGCACACAGCCAGCTCCTAGCACATCCGGATTCAAATCCAGGCATCAGAGCCAGGCTCTGTCCACTCACATGGATCTACAGTCCCTGGTCTCTCCTCCTCTTCCTGACTCTCAGCATCCCGACCCCCTGGCAGGACAGGCTGGGACCACTGGCCAAGGATGCCTCTCTAGCCCCTACAAGACTCGGACAGGCATTAAAAATACCCACAGTCACTATGTGTCAGTGTCTGTTATTACCTAGTATAGTAAAGGTCCAGGGGACAAATCTTCCAGTGAAGAACTGTTCCCATTTTCCAGATGAAGAAACTGACACTTAGAAAAGTAACGACAGCTGCCCAGTGACACAGTTGAGGCTCGGCTACAGGGTGGCATTGGCGACATTCCACTCAAGTGAACCAGCCTCTGGCATGTGGGTCTCGGAGGACAGCCTTGCCCCCCGACAGATGTGCAGACAGTAGCCCCGAGAGGGGAAATTCACCAGGGACCCATGGCTGGTTTGTGGTGTCCTGACACCAGGGCTAGGATTTCATGAGCAGCCTCACATGGTCTGCGGGCCCAGACCTGTGCCTGGCCCTGGGATTCTGTCCCTCACCCTATGAGACCCCGTGCCTCCTCCTCCACGAAGCCCACTTCACCGCTATAGGCGACGTTGCATCTCTGCCTATCCATATGTGCAGGTCTGTGGCCTTGTGGTCAGCTTACCTCTCCAACTGGTGCCTCTAAGCCAGGTCAAGTGGCCCCGTCCTCAAAAATTCTCTAGGCAGACAACAACTCTCAGTACCACCCTCCTCCCCATGACTTGTGCCCAAATAACTCATATCACAAAAACTGGGACTTGGGGTTCCCCAGCCTCCAGTATGTGGAAAGAGAAGCTGTCCCCAAGGCAGTGCCTGGGGCCTGGAGCTGCAAAGGGGTTTCATGGCATCTCCCCCCATGGGCCACAGCAGCCAGGACAAACATGGGGCCCGGTCACTGGACACACCCTGGTCTGGGCAGTGGCGCTTCTGAGTAGTTCTGTCTCTGATGGAGAGACCAGGAGGCTCTGCCGAGCCCTCTGACCGCTCTCCTTCCTTAGAGAGACAGATGACTCCCCCTCCCTGATGACCACAGTGCTCCTCTTGGTGCTGCCCACACCAGCCGCCTCCCCTCTGCCTGGGCCTCTCCAAGCCCCTCCGTGCTCCCAAGGATCAGCCACCTGCCAACCAAGGATGCCCCCCAGTTCCACCTTGGCCAGCCACCTGCACCCCTCCTGGCTTCTCCTGATCGAGTCAGGTCGGTGTCCAAAGCCATCAAGCCCAAGGTGCCTTCTTGTAGGGGCCATCCCAAGGCGTCCTCCTTCCCTTCAGATCACGGTTCTCTAATGCGCAGCAAACCTCACCTGGTTAGCTTAGTGGAGTAAAACAAGAATCGCCGTGGCCATCAGAAGCTTGAAGCACCGTGGCTGGGCAGCTCCGGCTTCGAGTCTCCCTGGGCTGCCTTTGGAAGCCTTCTGTGGCCACTGTCATCTGGAGACTTGACCGGAACTAGCGGCCGCACATGCGCCGTGGCTCATTCACATGGCTGTTGGGGTGGCACTGGCCGTGAATGGGAAGCCACGGTCCTTTCCACACAGACATCTCTCCAGGAGCCGCTTGGGCATCCCATGGCATGGCTGCTGGTGGCCTGCAAGCGTTATTGCAAGAACCTGTGGGGCTGTTAGATTTAACCTCGGTGGTCACACACTGTCACCTCTATCCTATGTATGGGTCCTACGAGCTGCCTGGCTCCATGAGGGGCTACACGGGCACAGATCTAGCGAGTGGGAGTCTGGGATGGGAGGCTGGCCTCCACCCTGTGAAACCGCAGAGGCTGTCTTCAGCTGACCTAGGAATGCATCGTTTTCCACCCTTCTCACTCCCTTTTTTTTTGAGTTGGAGTCTCACTGTCGCCCAGGCTGGAGGGCAGTGGCACGTTCACGGACACTGCAGCCTCAACCTGCCGGGCTCAGGCGATTCTTCTGCCTTAGCCTTCCAAGTAGCTGGAACTAAAGTTGCCCGCTACCATGCCCAGCTAAGTTTTTGATTTACTGTAGAGACGTGGTCTCACCAAGTTGCCTGGGCTGGTCCTGAACTCCCGGGCATAGGCAATCCTCTTGCCTCTGCCTCCCAAAGTGCTGGAACTACAGGCACGAGCCACCACACCTGGCTAATTTTTTGAGTTATTGTAGAGACGAGGTCTCGAACCCTGAGTTCAGGCAATCCTCTCACCTCGGCCTCCCAGAATACTGGGATTACAGGCTTGAGCCACCGCGCCTGGCTGCTCCCTTTCTTTATACACGGGCATCTGGTGACTCAAATCTTGTTCCGGGGATGTGGAGATGGACAGAGCCATGAGTCCTTCCCAGAGGAACTCACTGCAAGTGGGGGAGATCGTCTCTTCCCGAGAAGTGCTAGCAAGGAGAGCCACACAGGATGATGGGAGCACAGAGGGCAGGTCCTTCCCTGTCTGGGGAGCAGGGAACACCTTCACAGCAGAGGACATGTCTGCTCTGGGTCTTGAAGGATGAGTAGGGGCTCCTCAGGTAGAGAAGGAGCGCAGGAGTGACAGCATGAGCACTGAGACTACGGCAGCACACGGGCAGCGACTGGAAGGCTGTAACGGGAGCTCAGGCTTTAAATCCAGCACCGCTGGAGGGACTTAGCCAGCAGAAGGCCTGGCAGAGCTGTGTGGTGGACAGGACGAGGCAGACAGGGCCTGGTGGCGGGAAGACTGCCCGGGAGGCAGCTGCAGGGCCCTGTGAGAAATGAAGCTTCCCTGAGCTGGCCTGGGGGTGAGACGGGAGGGTGGGTCTGGGAGGCGGAGCTGAGAGGATGTGGTGAGAAGTTGTCTGGGGGTCAAGACAGGAAGGCCTGAAGGTCATGGCTCACCTTGTCTGTCTCTGCCCCGGGACCTTCCTTCCCTGACTCCGGCCCTCCTCGTGGAAGGCCCGAGCCCCACCTGTGCTTGGGGCCCAAGCATCCCAGTTAGGCTTTCTCTGAACGAGTTCCCTGCTCCTGGTGTTTGCTCCTGTAGGAAAAATTGCCGAAAATCAGAGATGCCAGAGGCACACCAGGGCTGAGGATGGGAAGCGTCTTGGACCACAGGCTTTTCTGAGATGCCAGTGAAAGCGGTGAACTTCCTTTCCAGAAACAAATAAACGTGCATTTGCATGGGCCGTTTGCAAATGGTTCCAGAGGATTCTGAGACCCCCTGAAGCCTACCCTGGGCATCTGCACCCACGTGCAAAGCCCCAGGCCTTGGGGGCGTGGGGAAGCGAGGAGCAGACGCCGGCTTCAGGCATCTGGTGCCTCCTTCCTCTTCCAATCCCCCTGTAATTGGACAGCCCCTGACACAGCGGCAAGCGGGAGGAAGCATCTCCCCAGCGGTAGCCCCTGGTGGCACCAGCCTCCCTTGGTGGGTTTATTTTCATTATTATAGTAATTTTCGGGCTGCAGGCTACAATTTTCACTTGCAGCGAGGTATTAAATTGAAATTACCCCAGATGTAATTGTCATACGAAATAATCCCGAATCCACGGGAGCGGATGTGTTTACAAGATCGGGTTTTAGTGCTGGTGCCAGGGTTTGGGTCTCTGAACGTGCCAGGTTTAGGTGTGTGTGGCAGGGTCAGCGCTCACTCGGCATGGTGGGCAGAAAGGCTAGGAGGGCATGGACTGGGGAGCCGAGTCCAGGACCTGGGGTTGGGCTGGTGCAGCTTCTAGGAAGCACCATGCACTAACCTGGGTGCAGGAAACCACATTCGTTTTCTGTCTCCAAGCCTGAGTTTCCCCATGGCGGCAGGAGACTTGGCTTCCGTCATCCTCGGGGCGCCTGTTCCTCTCGGGGTCAGGGGAAGCCCTGGGTCTTGTCTGGGGCTCTGCAGCCAGGAGGCCCCACCAGACCCCAAGTGCCCGGTCAGCTAGAGGCCACCCTGATGCCTGGGCTCCAGCCCCTAAGGTCCGCTTCCCCGAGCCTCACCGTGTCCTGCCTCTCCTCCCCAGGTGCACTCTGCTGGGGTACTGCACGGACCTCCTGCCAACTAGCATCATCATCACCTTCCACAACGAGGCCCGCTCCACCCTGCTTAGGACCATCCGCAGGTGAGGCGGCCTGGCATCCGGGGCCAGCTCCATTCCCGCACTCAGGAGCAGTGTGTCGGCTCGGTCCTGGGCTGGGGACCCCAGGCACTCCTCCACATGTCACATGCGTGTGCTCGGTCACTCCTCATGTTCCTGTGTGGCAGGCTGTGATTCCATTTGATAAAGAAAAAGACAGAGGCCTTGCAGAAGGTTCTAGAGCCCTTGGCCCACACCACATACCAGGCTGCCTCCAGAACACGGGCCCTGGCCTCCGCATGGAGAAAGGGGCTGAGGCCCTGAGAGGCCTGCTCACATGCCCCAGCAGCATCCCCCTGGGGTCCGCTGGGTACTGCCCACCCAGCCGCTGCCTCTGGTCTCCCACACATCTGCCAGTGCTGGTATAGATCAGAACAGCCCACAGTCAAGGCCAAGGCCTGCCTTCCCGGTTATTTCTCTGCAGTTCCAGCCCCGTACCCCCCCAGCCTCTGCCCACCTCCGCACCTGGTCTGAGTCCGGCCCTCGCTCTAAGAAGTATGTCCTGCTGGGCATGGCCTGGGCCTGCGTGGTTTCTTGATATGTCCGAGTTTCAGCCCCAGCCGCCAGCAAAACTCCCACAGAATACAGACCGCACCCGGGAGGCTTCCCAGAATTCCTCTCCCTGGGCCCCTTTCCCCACTCCTGCCCTTCCCCTCCCTGTGTCCACCCTCCCCACTGTCCCCTCTCAGCCTCCATCCAGCAGCACCTGCCTCTCAGGGCAGTGAGGACAGCCTCCTCGGTCCTGCCCCTGTGCAGACATACCTTGACTCCAGCCCTCTGCTAGGGAGACGGGGGCATTGCCACACCCACGTCACAGCCAGGGAAACTGAGGCTGGAGAGGTGAAATCACTTAGCTAACCAGAGGGAAGCAGGTGTCTAGCCCTTGCACTCTGATTTCCGAGTCCTCGGCAGCCTGAGTTGGGCAAGGCTAGGCCCGGCAGTGGCATTCGGCCTCCCTAGGACCGGGGTGCCACGGCCACGTCCTCCAACCGAGCAAGGACCCCGTGACCCAGCTGGTCACAGCCCTTCCCGATCTGCTGGCTGTGCATCGGATGGTGCCCGATGTCGCAGACAAGGAGATGAGACGCTCTGGGCCAAGCATAGTGAAACGCCCTGTCGTTTCCATCAGACGAGGCCCACTCTCCGCTCCTCCCGCATGACTGTGGGCCGTGGGACGTTCCAGGTGGCGGGAAGGAAGTTCTGCCGTGGGCTCGCCCTGAGCGAAGGCGCCAAGCCTCCAGCTCCAACTGTCACTGGTGATGAATGTCCACCGTGCACAGTCACTGCGTCCCCTACGAACACAGGGAGGGACCTGGCCAGACACGCAGCTTCCAGCCCGGAGCTCCCACCGTGCCGAGGGGGCAGCTCCATCTGCTGCCCAGACGTCCTTGGCGGGGTCCTCCCACCGCCTGCCCATCCTGTCTCTGCACTTGTCCATGAGCCGCCCAGCTCAAATCTGATTTCCCAACCAGGCTTTGGCTCTTAACAAGAAAATGTGCCAAGTCACTGTCAGGTGATGAATAGAGCACCTTGCTTGCTGATTTGCAAATGGGGACCTCAGGGATGGCGAGGTCCAAGTGGCCTGGGGCTCCCCTGGAGGAGGGCCGGGACCTCCAGGGCTGAGCAGGCACATAAGGAATGCAGGTGGCTAGGATGGAAGTGTCAGTCCGCGGCCTGCCATCCTGGCCTGCTGGGGCACCAGGGCGGCTTCCTGAAGCAGGCCAAGTGCACCTCCGCCCGCCTGCCGGTAGTGGTGGGCCCACAGGCCATGTCTGGGCATGTCTGCCAGATGTTTCCATGAGGACACTGTCAGCCACTGAGAGGCACCTGGCTTTGCAGGCTGGCCTCCCTCACTCATTCTTCAGGGAGTTCTCTGATGCCAGGCCCTTCCACCTCCAACATACACACACGCCCACATACGAGCACGCCGTCAGGGGCTTCCTCCAGGCCCTGTGTGTGCCTCACTCTAGTACTGCTGCATTTTCCCACACGTCATCTCCACGGAGCTCCTTTAGGGCAAGGACTTACCGTATCCGTCTCTTCACCTCCCTCTGGCTCCATTTACCAATCAAGAAAATGGGAATACTAGTCGCACTAAGCACAGTGACGGACTAAGCGCTGTGCCAGATGCAGAGTAAGTACATGATCTAAGAAAAGAGGTTGTAAGAGCCTTAAAAGAGTGCCACGCTTGGAGTTGGAAGAGCCGAGGCCAAGTCCTGACCCTCCCACCTCCTACCCTTGCAACCTGGGCAGGGTATCAGCCGCATCTGTAAGATGAGGTGTTGGAAAGGTCGTCCAGGTTTCTAGTGCTACCACATTTCCCATGAACTTCCCACTTGAGAATGTCTCAGACACCTGAGGGCATTGCAGTATGATGCCAGAGCTCTCAGGCCCATGTACCTCCCTGGCATTGTGTTCATGTTCTGTGAGGCACCGGGACTGTGCACTCAGACTCCCGCCCTTGGCTCTGAGGTAAATCTCTCCTCCTCCCACTGCTCCTCCCTCTCTTCATAAGAGTAATCATGACACATAACAACAGCCATGTTTGCATGTTAAATGTGTTGGCGTTCTGCCTCCCACTCCATCTGCAGCCTCCTCGTGGGCCCAGGGGGTAGTTGGTGCCCGTGGTGAGCAGGGCCGAAGCCACAGTAGGGATGGCAGAGGTGCTGGGTGGCAGAGGCGCTGGGCCTCGGGCATGCTGACCTCTCTCTGCCACCAGTCTGATGGAGGCCACCCGAGGCCCTGGCGCCCTGCACTCTGGGAGGGCCTTGGGCCCATCAGCATTGTACTTTTCAGAAGACACCCATGATGGGTCAGACGGCCTAGCCCAGAGAGCCTACTTCCTGCCTCCTAAGAAGCCAGGCACCCAGCTTGGACCCAGGCATGATATCCAGACCACAGGCTGGGGCCTGAGAGCCACGTGTGCACAACCAGGGCTGACGACAGCCGGCTATGGGGAAATAGATGTTAGGGGTGGGCAGAAAAGGTTATTTATGGAAGCTTCCGTGCCTTAAGATCCTGGACCTTCCTCCCACTCCCTATCCTGGTACACAGATCAGTTACTGGCCACTGAGAGGGGACTGGGTGAAGTCACTCCCTATCTCGCTCTGTCTTGCACAAAAGGAGCTTCTCGAAGGTACCTTTCACCTTGAACTTTCTGGAATTCCGGATGGCTCTGTCGCCAGACTCTCGAGAGAAAGATGTTGGAGGGACTGACCTTGCCCTTCTACCTCCCTGCCATGCCTGCATAGCACTTGGGACAGAGAACCTGGATGAGCTAAGGACATCCTCACTTGGGGAGAGAAAAGCCGGGCCCTGGAGAATGGCTATCCTTCACAGCTTCTGCGGCGAGTCTGCGTGGGTCTGTGACAGCCAGGACTGTGCCTTCCTCTCGGGGGGGCCCCCTTCAGCCCTCCCCCTCTCCTGGGGGCTCCAGAGAATGCAGAAGGGATTGCTGTATGTCCTGAGCCTTCTCGCTGTTGCCTTTTTGTAATGTCCTAGGTTAGAGAAGGGGTCTCTAAGACTAAGGTGGTTACTCATTTAGACTCTTGGCCAGATTTGTCTGCCCTGCCCTTCACAGCTGTGTGATCGTGGGCAAGCTGCTTAACCTCTCTGCCTCTGTTTCCTTTCCTGCAAAGCACAGATTGCAAATAATAACTCCCTGGCATCATTGCAGAGATGATTTCTTTCTGATAGGTAAAGGACTTGGAGCCGTGCCTGGCACATGGTGAGCCTGTGCAGGTGACAACACGCGAGTGGGAGCCTCTGGCCCCAGCCGACGGCGTGTCTGAGGCAGAGGCTCATAAACTCGAGAGCAGCCCTCAGAAGCTCCGAGAGGGCTTGTTAAAATGCAGCCTCCTGGTTTCCAGCCTCAGAAAGTCTAACTCAGTAAGCCTGGAGTGGACCCAAGAACGTGCATGCCTAAGAAGGCCCCGGGCAACGGTGGTGCTGCATGGAGACCACACTTTGAGAGCCTCAGTGAAAGCCCTGTGTGTTGCTGTAGTTCGTTTCGGATGTTTCATGTCCGTCCCTGCGTTCGGAGAGCAGCCTCCTGTGTGTGGCCCTGGCTCTCCTCCCATGCAACGAGAGAAATCGTGGCGCGGAAGTCTCGGCACCCTGTGAGCGCGGCCAGCTGGTGAATGGCGGATGCTCAGAGACAGCACTTGAACCTGAGCCGGCCCCACTCCACAACCGCAAAACGCAACTGCCAGCGGCCCTGGGTCTTCATTCTGCGGGTATTTATGGAGTGCTTGATAAAACCTGCCTGCACAGAGCACCGTGGAGTTCACAAAGCAATTTCAAATACATTTCCTCATTTCATACGCACAAAAGCCTGTGAAGTAGGTCAAGTATTAATATCGCCTGCTTTACAAGGAAAATGTAATTACAGGAGAAAACGCAGGCTGAGAGTGAACCAGCGGCTATGTGGTTCAGGACTGTACGGTGGGTGGCAGGGCTCGCTGCCGTGGAACCCAGCCAGCCCTGCCCCATGGGTGCAGGAGGTGGAGTTAGGGTGCAGGAGGTGGAGACAGTGCCTGCACAGTCACCCTCTGCACAGAGGTGAGCTGCGTAAAGAAGACTGCATTCTCGAAGAGTCCCAGGTAGAGTGTGGCCAGCATGTGCACATGGGAGACTGTTCTAGAAGAATCTTAGGCAGAGTGTGGTCCACATGTGCATACTGAGTCCTAGACTTCATTTTAGAGCCATCCCAGGCAAGGTGTGGCCCGCATGTGCCCATGAGGTGAGGACCTCTTCCCATCTGAGCTGTGCAAAGTAGGGCCTAGGGCAGGCCGAGTGGGCGGAAGCAGGGAAGATTGTCGCCTGTCCTGGGCCCCGTGCATCAAGGAGGGTTTACTTTGCCTTAGATGGGGGTTGTGAGAGTGAGAAACAGGGGAGCAGCCAGCGTTTGGTGGTGGGATTGGCGATGGGTGTGCCCATTGGAGCGGCCTTCGGATTGTCTGGGCCGGGCCAGGTCCTCTGGGCATGACTCGACCCTCTCTCCCTCTGACCACCCAGGACCCAGAGCACATGCCCACCTTAGCCTTCCCAGCCCAGAGCCACTTTTCGGGAGACCTGCCATCGCTCTAATCGCTCTGATGAGAGGCGCAAAACAAGCCAGGTGCTACCAGGAAATGGTCTAATTAGCACTTGCTGCTGACGGTTCCTTTTTTTCCTTTTCTGTTTTAAACCCTGGACATTTTTTATTCGCTAATCATCTCTCCGTGCAACTAGTGCATAGTTGCACGCGATCTACCTTTTGATGTGCACAGAAGAGAACTCTTGAATTTCAAAGAGCCGGCAGGGATTTGGGGGGAACGCATGAGAGGCCGCTGCCGTAATCAAACCTCATTAGAGGTTATTCTTCCAGCAGGTTTTCTGCGCACGCCTGCCTCTCTCACTGATTGGAGGGCTGCTGGGTGTGTTTGTGTGTTTTCTCTGGGAGCATCTCGGTGCGCGCTCCCCTCCTGCCCCCTCTGGGGAAGGCTGCGGCCTTTCTTCCCTCCCTGGTCCCGGGCTCCGACACAGGGCCAAGGGGTATAGGGTGTGTGCCAGGGGGCCCAGGCGGGTGCTGGGCTCCTCTCTCCACCTCTTGCTGGTTGCCATGGTGAGTATGGAGACTTCTTGAGTATGGTCGCTCCTGGCAAAGTTCTCTTCCAGGAGAGCCTGCGTCCTGCATGGAGAGGGTGGGGCCTGCAGATCAGAGCTCAGCTGGCCCTCCTGATGGGAGGGATGCTCACCGCGCCTCTGCCAGAGTCCTCTCTGGACCTCTCTCCAGCATCCAGGGGCTCAGGGTATCCCTCGGTGGCTGGCATGGCCCAGGCGTGCTGTTGAGAGGCCACGTGGCTGAGGTATTAAGGAGAGGCAAAATTCAGGCCTCCCAGAGAGGTCGAGGCCCCGGAGTCAACGCTGAGGCCCATCCCTTGCCCCCACGTGGACACCCCCCCCCACAGGAGAGCACCTGAAGGCAGAAATCGTAACTGATGCCCCAATCACCATCACTGCCAGCATTCCTTATCACCTTAGTGCCAGGCACTCTCAAGGCCTTATATGTTTTCTCCTTTAATTTCCTCCACAGCTCTGTGGGGTAGGTTCTACCATGATTGTTCCTATTTTATAGATGGGATGCTTTGTTTCACAGAGCAGTAAAGTAACTTGTCAAGGAGGACACAGCTTGTAGTGAGCGGCTGCTGGACTCGAGCTTCTGGAGGGTAGGACTTGCTCCTCCTTTGCTCGCCGTCCTATGCCCAAGCACTGAGCACACAATAGGGGTGCAGGAAATATCCCTCCAGGGGACAGCTCGGGCCCAGACGGGCACTGGGCTCTGGCAGCACAGAGGGCGACTTGGCAAGGGTCCTGCCCTGGGGTGTCACCCTCCAGAGGGGAAGGTGGGCGCACAGGGATGAGGTCCAACAAAACCTTCAGGGGCAGTAAGTGAGAACAGCTGTAGGATCAGACACAAACTGCGGAGAGATCCCAGAGGAGGAAGCCATTCATTCTCACTAAGTGGATCAGAGAGCAGTTAGACAGGAAGCGACATTCGAATGGGCCCTTGCGGGCAGCGCAGGGCATTTCAGGTCGCGGGAGAAAGGCTCTTGGTTATGAATGAGCAGGAAGTCTGCAGGCGGCGGCACTGGCGGGGGCTGGGGGCGTGGGCCAGCTTCAGATGGCCAGAGCCTGAGGGGCATGCTGAGGATTTGGGGTGTAGACAGTGGGGAGCCACTGGGTGTTGTCGGCATATTTCTTTGCATTAACGGGGAAAGTTGCACAGTCAGCTCTGTGGTCAGAAAACTCACTCTGGAGGCCACAAGCACGTCAACCTGGGAGAGGCTGGGGCAGGTGGAGGCCGTAGTGAAAAACCAGACAAAAGCAGTTCAATCAGAGTAGGGCTGCAGGAGGTAAATGTGAGCGAGCCAGCTAGTCTCGTTCGCTGATTTGCTGTGAGGCTTCCGGAAGTGGGAGACCATTGAGAATGCTTCCTGGGCTTCCGTCTGGGGGGCAAGGTGGGTGGCGGAGGCCTTCACGAAGATGAGGAGGCAGAATCACATCCCGCTGGCCCACACATGAGCGGTGTCACTGGACAAGCCCTTGGGTGGCCCCGGGCTTCTATTCCCCACCTGCGGTGGTGTCTGTCTAAACCGCGGGCTGACGCATCTGTTCTACCCCCTGGGAATCACAATGTTTTTTTTTTTCTCTTTCCATCTCTCAGCGTGTTAAACCGCACCCCTATGCACCTGATCCAGGAAATCATATTAGTGGATGACTTCAGCAATGACCGTAAGTAATGGCGTCATCACTGTGATCAGCCCCTGTGTGACCAGCAGAGGTGTGTCCGCAGGTTTCTGGGGAAGGAGGCAAGCCTAGTTTTGTGACAGGCATGAAGACTTGGAGAGTCTGTAGGTGGGCTCGAGAAGGAGACACGCTTCATAGTCAGAAAACAATTCATTAGGTCCCCTGCTGTGAGTCCTTGAGGATGCAGCCAGCTCATCTGAGTCGATCTTCGATCGGGTTGGTGTGTGAATATATGCAGTGGGTACGTGTATGTGCACATGTGAGTGTGCGCGGTGGGCACATGAACATGTGTCACCTGCCCAGCCTCCATTCCTGGTCATGGGAAGAGACACAGAAGGCTCAAAGGAGCACACTGGGACCCACAACCTGGACGCAATGCCGTGGGGGTTCCTTGCCTCATGCCACTGCAGTCTGTCGCTCCCTGGGAGGTCTGGGTGGGCCCCATCCTGGGACCCCTCCACAGGACATCCTGTCCCCTCACCATGACACAGTGAGGGCCAGCTTCCAACCTTCCCACACACCTGCCATCACCACTTCTTACCTTGTGTCCCCAGTAATCCGTCAAAGGACCACATTCACACCCCAAATCCACTCTCCCCAAGAAAGACACGGAGGTCTTTCCAGACATCTGTGCGTTCAGTTTGAAACGTGCAGTGATTGGAGAAGCAATCAAAATTCAGGTATTGGTAGTACTGACACTCCCTCTCAGAGCCTTCTCCTGGTGCATGGGGTCAGCCACATCCAGGCAGGACAGTCTCTTCCTGGTGCCGAACCCGGGGAGACAGGGTGGCCACTGGGGGCAGCTCCAAGTACCGCAGGGTGGAGCCCACCCCCACCAGCAATGGGCACCAGGTGCAGGGAGCCTCCACCACACTGGGCTTGCTGGACAGGCATAGCCACGGTACCCCAGGCATGATGCAGGGGGGCCCAGAGTGTAAGACAGAACTAAGCATTGACATGGACCCAGAGGGTTAGATCAGGACTCTGGGTGCTGGGCTCGGCAACCTGCCCTCCCTACCCCAGTGAGGAAGAGCTCAGAGAAGGAGACTCCCACCCTGCTGGGGGTGGCCTGGGCTGGGCAGGAGGGGTGCTGTTGGATGCTCTGAAGACAGGACATCCCTGTCAGAGCATCATCCTGGAGCTTCCTCACTGGCAGGCTGTGAGCCAGTTGGTGATCGGCCCGGGCATACCAGTGCCCTTGCTATAAGATGGAGAGGATGATAACAGTATACGTGGCTAACACAAGGGTTAAGTGTATGCACATATTTAAAGTGTTCATAACGGTACCCAAGCTTGTGCAAGTATTTTCTGTTACTTTTTAAAGTTCAGAGCCAGGCAGAGAGGTCAAGGTCAGAAAACATAAAGTGAAACCCGGCTGGCGGGCCATGATGTGGAGTTCAGAGCCAGAAACTGGGGAGCCAAAGAAACGAAGGGTAGTGGGAAAGCCAGGGGGTGATATGCAAACACCCAGGATGGGGCCTTTCACCCGTTCTGGCACAGGTCTGTGCATGGGGACTGGTGAACCAACTCCAAGTAATGGGAGGTAGCTGACGAATTCCTTCACACAGCAGGCTACCGTGAGCCGAGAGGACAGTCCAAATCCCTCTGTCCCTCCCCAGCCTCCCAGCAGCTTATATAAGACCAGCAGTGTGAGAGGACTCTGAGCTAATGCCTTGAATGATCTATTGCAAAGGAGAAATGTCTCTAGGTGACCAGGCCAGGATTTCTACCTGGAGTATTTTCAAGCAAGTGTGAAGGAGTCACCTGTACTGACTGTCCCCTACCCAGACTCTGGGAAGCCGCCTTGCCCTGATTGGTCACCTTATATAATGACAGCAGTGTCAGTGTCCATCAGCTCCTCCTCAGCCTGAACCGCCATCCCAGAGTAGGGAATTTGCTCTGCTTTGGGGGTGGGGGTGGGGCCAGGGCTGCCTTACCTGTCCTCAGGGTCACCTGCAGCACACAGGTGCGTTGTGCCGAGTTCGACCCCATGCACTCACTGCACATCATCTTTGTCTTTGCAGCCGATGACTGCAGACAGCTCGTCAAGTTGCCCAAGGTGAAATGCCTACGTAATAGTGAGCGCCAAGGTAGGCCTGTGGGTGCCCTCAGGTGTGTGGGTGGGGGGGGGTTGCAGGGGTGTGGTTGCTGAGGGGTAAGGTGAGGGCGACTGTGTTTGGTTCTTGAGTGCCAAGTGGCTCCCCCGTGGACCTGCTGGTCGACGGAGCGATGCTGGCACCCACTGGGTGGTGTGTCCCTGACTGCAGGTCTGGTCCGGTCCCGGATCCGAGGCGCGGATATGGCCCAGGGCACCACCCTGACCTTCCTGGACAGCCACTGCGAGGTGAACAGGGACTGGCTGCAGCCCCTGTTGCACAGGGTCAAGGAGGTAAGTGGACTGGGGACAGGGCTGGGGCCGTGCATGGCATCTGCAGGCCATCTTGGGTCCTAGCATCACATAGGCCCCGGGTCCTTTGGCAGGGGGTGGGATGGATGACCGTCCCCAAGGCATAAGCGCAGGAGCTGAGGGGGAACAGCCTACCCGGGGTCACACGGCAACTGAAACCAGGCCTGGGACCTGTTAGGGCATGGACTGGGTGAGGGTGGGTGGATGAATAGAAGCCAAGGGGAGGCGCAGTACCAGTAACCCAGAGATCCGAGTAATGCAAAGAATTGCAGTACACAAAGAGGTTAAAAAAAAAAAAGAAAAGTTTATTTAAAAGTAAATTTAAAAAAAGAAAGAGAAGGGAGAGAAAAGATTCACCTCCTTGAGAGGGGGAGGGGACAAAAGCCGGGAAGCCTGTCAACAGCCGTAGCCCAAAGAGCACACGGCCATGCCAATGGCCGCTGGCTGCTTGTGGTTGAGTCCTTGTAACCATTCCCCTAGATGGAGGAAGATCATTAAGGTGATTGGGTGGTGGTCTGCTCCTCGTCATCACAAAAGAGCAGGCAAGCACAAGTACTGACGCCAGGTAATGGACAGCAGGCAGATGGGTGGGTTAGTCACATGATTGCTGCCATGGTGGGTTTTATTTGTGTCACGTAGGTCACGAAGGGCTGATTAGGTTAACCCTGGTGGGGGGGTTTCCTGCAAGAGACTTGTTAGACTTTTGCAGTTCACAAATTCCTTGATCATAGGTGGTCATATTATTACTTTTATGACTTTGGCCAGCCAAAGGGTGATCTTTGGTCTTCGGTCTTGACAAAAAACCTAAAAGTGTACTAGAGATTATTATGCTAAACCATGAATCGAAAGGTTGGGCTATCCTGGTCTTGCATCTGATGGAGACTTGCTAAGAGGGGATGGGATAGGCTGCTGCTTGTCCTGCAGTAGAATGTCTGAATGCTTTCTAATGGTTATGCTGAGGCAAAAAAACTAAACTAAAAATAAGCTAAGTTTCTTCTAGGTTTCTATAGGTACCACCTTTCAGGACCATCACCCCAACAGGCTGGCAGTGGGCAGTGGACACATGGCACATGTAGCTTCCTGGGCAAGAGACTGTTTCTCCTAATGATGGAAGGTTCCAGAAAGGGGGCCCTAGGAGTGCTTCTGTAGGGAGGAGGCGGCAGCACCAACCAGGCTCCATGCCGGGTTCCTGAGCCTCTGTCTTCCTGACCACTGTTACCCTCCCTCCAGGCTGTGCCAAGCAGGTGGGCTGGGTGCTCCAAGACCCAAATGCCTGGCCTCTGTTTCCCTTAAATTACTCTGGAATTCCATGTGTGCAATTCCATGTGCGTCTTTCCTCCGTGTCTCAGTGAATCCTCTAGAAAGTGAAAAACAATTTAATTTTCCTCAGTATTATTTAATATTCCAAGAAGGCCACGCACTCCCCTGCTGATCTACGGTGCATGGCGTGGCATAGACACCAGTGTCAACGGCCAGCATTCATAGCTCTTTTGTCTTCCCAAGGGACCCACTCATGCCACCGTTCTGTGAAGTAGGGGGCCAGGTATGTTTCACATACCCATTTCACAGATGCAGAGCCCGTCTCAGGGCGGTTCTGTAGCTGGGTCTGGTATCCTTCAGCTGGTCCTGCCAGCTCCAGAATCCTGGTGCTTCCTCAGAAGCATCTTCCTGAGCCCAGGTCACTACCACGTGCTCTCCTGAAAGCTCCCAGCTCCTGCCTGGTAGGAACAGTGTTCAGGGGTCGGAGGAACTGACTATGAAATGGCTCAAAAGACAGCAGGTGATCCTTCCAGGTCCTCCATCTCAGGGAGAGCACTTGCCAGGCTCTCGCACTTGGACCTAATGTGAAGGCCCATTGGGACCATGTTTCCTGGGACTGGGGGGACTCATCCACTTAGTGCTGCTAGGAAGATCCCCTCCCCTCTTTCTGATCCAATTCGATCAAAGCAGTCTGGGTTGAGATATACTTGAGCTGGCTATTTGGCGGAAAGCTGATCAGGGCATGGAGTCCCCTCCAAGTCTGCCCCCGCCCTGTGCCAAGATCTTTTGTCCCCGGTGTGCTTCCCTTCCTCCCTACAACCCCTTCCCCCCGGGGGCCTTTCCCACATTTCCCTCTTCCAGGAAGCCCCTCTGGACTGCACAGCCAGCTGGGGCCCCTCCTGGAGAAGTTGCTACCTCGGGCCACCCTTTCTGCCTCTGGGGTTAGTTCTCTGTCTCCCCTAACAGATTATGAAGCTGGGGGACACCCATGCCCCCTGTGGCCACCCTGCCTCTCACAGAGTAGATGCTCAGTGTTCAGAGATGAGAGGCAGAAACCAGAGGCTGGAGGGGACGGGAGGGTGGGATGGGAGGGGGACAGGCTGGCTTCCAGCCCCTAAAGGAATCAGCAGACATTTGCTGAGCATTGAAACGGGCCGTGCAAAAGGAATCTGCTGTGTGTTGGGCAAGGTAGGCTGGCGTTATGGAGTGAAAGTATTCACCAAGACAGTTACGGATGAGGAATGGTCGATTTATTAAAGGGAAGGTACGTTGTGAAGGCCACAATGGGCAGGATGGCAACGAGAGAGAGTTTGCCATCTGCCAAGAGGCAGGGGCTAAACAGAAGCATTTATGCGACTGTATGGGGATTCAGTGTGGACTGGGGGAGTTGCCTGGGGGACATGGAGATGTCTGCAAATTGACTGTATATATTGCTGGAGGTTTGTAAAGCTGATCGATGGTAGCGTTTTGTCTCTTAAACAGCAGTAGATGGCTGCTTTTTGTGTGTCACACAACCAACAGCAAATTGTTAACTACTTTTTGTTTGTTGCGGAACTAACAGCCAATGTTTTATGGCTGACTATCCAGCTTTTACAACTCTGAGCTTTCTTTCCTCAATATAATGTACCCAATTTACTCAACGGATGCTGGCCTCATCAGGCATCCTGTTCCTCCACGGAATCCACACCCTGCCTGGTCGGGCTCTCTGGGGCTCCCTACGGACAGGTGCGCACGGGTGTGCAGGTGACCCCCAGGGAAGGGAGCACAGCCAGTGACCGCAGGTCGGAGTGATGCAGGAGCTCCATAGTCAGGACAGGCCTTGTGAGGAAGAACGAGAGAGACATCCAGACACTTCTTGGTTATGGAAGCAGGAGGGTCTTTCTGCCTGTAAGTTGCTGGCACTGCCCTGGGGCCGGCTGAGCCGCCCATGACCATCCATGCCTGGAGTTAAAAACAAACTGAAGTGTGCCCGACAACAGCCAAGGGCTCAGGTTGCAGATTCAGGATGAGGGGTAGAGAGTCTGGGAGCACTTCACTGGGAGGAGAAGGCTGGGTCTGCAGACCTGGTCCCCGTTCACAGAGGACTTTATGCAGAAGAGACAAGGTGTTCCCTGCGTACGTGGAGGTCATGTTTACAAAGTGAATTTGAAACCCAGAAATGTGGCAGGGTGGAAAACTTCTTGGCAGAGGACAGAGGGGGCTGGGTCTCTCATTTTCCATCATAAAAGTAATGGCGTGTCACGTAGACATTCTGGAAAAGTTGACAGCCAACCGAAAGCCTAGCATGCAAGGACACCCTCCTGTGGTATTGCTTTCCTTAGGCTCTTTTCCCAAAAGTGTCTGTATGCAGTTGCTATCACACTACTTATACCATTTTGTATTTTGCTTTTTTTCTCTTAGCAGTATTCACTAGCGTTTTTTGAGCCATGTTTCTTTCTTTTTTTTTTTTTGAGTCAGAGTCTCACTCTATCACCCAGGCTGGAGTGCAGCAGCACGCTCACAGCCACCCCAGCATCAACCCGCTAGGCTTAGGCGAGCCTTCCACGTCAGCCTTCCAAGTAACTGGAACTACAGGCGTGCACTACCACCCCTATTGTAGAGATGTCTTATCAAGTTGCCCAGGATGGTCTTGAACCCCTGGGCTCAGGCAATCCTCTCACCTCAGCCTCCCAAAGTGCTGGAATGAAGGGCTGGAGTCCAGGGCATGGCTCACTGCACTGCTGGCCCTCCTCCCTCTGCTCACCCCTTGGGCTTCAGGCCGCTCCCACCCCCCCTCCCTGGACTGAATTTCACAGGCCTGGCTCTCATCCCATGTTGGGGCAGCTGGGTTGGGGTGTGGTCAGGGCCGGGATCCAGCCCCAGGAGCTGTGCCCACGCTTCTGGGTGCAGCCGTCACAGCGGTGGACTCAGAAACCCTGGCCTCTGCCCCAGGCTGACTGTGGGAGTGTGTGCTGTGCTGTAAAGTACATGCGACAACGTTGACCATTCAGTGATCTGAGTGTGTCCGCAGGGTGTGTAACTCTCACCGTCGTGTCATCCTAAAACATTTTCATTGCCCCAAAGGGAAACCTTGTCCTCGTCATGGTCCCCACTCATCCTCCTCCCTTCCTGCCCCTGATCCCCACATCTCTGCTTCTTGTCTCCATGGATTTGCCTATCTGCACATTTCCCATCAATGGTATCATAGAACATGATCCTGACTTCCTTCACTTAGCAAATTTTCGAGCAGGATCCAAGTTGTAGCATGCATCAGACTTCCTTTTCACAGATGAATAATGTTCCATGGTACGTGGCATGCCACACTTGTTTGTCCCTTGATGAATATCTGTGTTGTTTCCAGCCTGTTACTACTGGGAACAGCGCTGCTGTGAGCATCTGTGTGCACGTTTTCATCTGAGTACTTGGGGGGTGTATCTATTGAGAAGTGGAACTGCCAGCTGCTACAATAGGTCCATGTTTCACCAGTTAGGCCCCCTGGCTGACCATCCCTGCAGGGTGCGTTAAAGGAGCCGTGCTTTCCCTGAACAGTGAATGAATCCGCAAAGCTGTTTCCATCCCAGTGCATCTCAGACACCATCTCTGAAAAAATCCTCTCATTCCTGCACCTGTGACCCACCTCACCCACCAATGGGTGAAGCCGCTATGTCCTCCTTCCAGAATGTGGGAGATGCCTGCCTCCTCAAAACCATTCAGCCCCAGGATGAAGCTGAGCGCCCCCCAAGCTAAGCTCTTTGGTCCTCATCTCTGCCCAGGCTAAGGCCTTCGTGGCCAAGAGATGAGCCAGTCAAACCCAGGAGCCGTGGTCCAGCTCTGCTCCGTAGGGCTCGTGGACTGCAGGGGTTTCCGCCAAGCCTTGCCTCTTTGGGCATCTCAGAATCTTTCCTCTGGGACAGCCCCTTGGGGAGGGGGAGGGCGGCCTGTGTCCACCTGTGTTCCCCGTGTCTTTGTGCGTCTTTTCTCGGAGTAGAAGGTGATTTGATCTTGTGAGGGGAAGTGGAAATTTTCAGCTGTAATTGGAGTTTGGGATTTTCAAAAATAGCAAGAGATAAGCAGAGGCTGAGATTGAGCTGCCATCACTGTCCTTAGCTGGTGTTTTCACAGTGAAAACCTCCCCAATTTTCCTTCTTTTTCTTTCAATTACATGATGATATTTGAAACGAGCACCAAGTTGGTTTTTTTAAAAAAACACAGAGGCTTCTTCTCCCCCCTTCTTATCTGCATATTTCTTTAGCAGGAAAAAAAAAGATTTTAGAAATCTCAATCCCTGTGAAACATTCGGTCAGTTTATAGAAAGAATAGCTTACATGTTCTTCAAAGCTTCTCACGTGCTTTTCTCTCTTGTTTGTCACAAAAGAGGCCAGATCGTTTGCAAATAATAATTTGTTTCACTTTATAAACGAAGACACAGAATTCCCCAGAGCTTGCCAGCTTGTGTAAGGTCACATGTAGCCTAGGTGGCAGAACGAGCACCCAGGGTCCTCAACTTGTCCTTGCCTCATGGTGTCTCCTCCCTGGGAACCCCCTGCTCCCCACCCCTCCCTCCATGCCAGCTTGGAGGGCCCCAGGCTGTGTGTTACACCTGCATCAGAAGCATCTACTCACCGGTCCTCACCTAGACTGTTAGACTGTGACATCTTATTTATCGTTGTACCTGCCATGGTTCCCAAACCACAGTAGGTGCTCAGCAGTGCTGGTAGGCTGCAGGAGTGAGTATCTCTTAGGGTCTGTTTGTTTGTTTGTTGTAAGATACAGAGTCTCTCTCTGTCACCCAGGCTACAGTGCAGTGGTACAATCATAGCTCACTGCAGCTTCGAACTTCTGGGTTCAAGGAATCCTCCTGCCTCAGCCTTCCAGGTAGCTGAGACTACAGGGGCAGGCCACATGCCCAGTTTGTTTTTATTTTTTTAATGTTTTTCTAGAGACAAGGTCTCACTATGTTGCCCAAGCTGGTCTCAAACTCTTGGCCTCAAGGGATCCTTCTGCCTCGGCCTCCTAAAGCACTGGGATTACAGGCGTGGGCCACCATGCCCAGCCTCTGGGAGCTTTTCGATTGCCCATTCACAGTGTGTTTTTTTTGTTTGTTTGTTTGTTTTTGTTTTTTTGAGTTGGAGTCTCACTCTGTTGTCCAGACTGGAGTGCAGTGGCCGCTCCCGGCCACCGCAGCCTCGACCTGCTGGGTTCCAGCGATCCTTCCGCCTCAGCCTTCCAAGTAGCCGAAATTACAGGCATGTGCTACCATGCAAGGCTGATTTTTGATTTATTGTAGAGATGAGGTCTTGCTGCCCAGGCGGGTCTCGAACCCGCGGGCTCAAGGCAATCTACTCACCTCAGCCTCCCAAAGGCACGGGATTACAGGCTGAGCCACCGAGCCCGGCCACAGTGTGGTTTTAATTACATGACTCGGTGGAGAAACAAGAGGCCTGACAGCAGGGGTGATGGATGGCCGTGGGCCGGTGCCTTCGGCCTCTGTAAGGGCTGGATGGAAGTGGGGTTGGAAGGATTTGGATTTGCACAGGGGCGGGGTGACAAGGACGTATGGTCTGGGAGCTGCCAGGGTTCCACCAGCTGCCTGCTTGAGTCTAAGCGTGGTCCCAGCTTTAAAGCTACAGCCCCTGGGACACGCAAGCCTCTGGTGGGTCTGGGCATTGGTGTCGCGAGCCCATGCACCCGCAGGCCTGCAGGAAAGGCCATCTTTTCCAGCTGTAACTGACTCGCCTGCCTGCTGGCAGCATGGATGGTGCCTGGAGGGAGTTAATAGACACCCTTTCAGCCGGGGCGGATTGCACAGCTGTTGCCCATCAGGCTCTGGGCAGGGGCTGGGAATTCAAAAGTGAGCCCGTACCAACCCCCAGGGCATGCCGAGAGGCCATGTCCAGCCCTGACAGCTCGTTTATAAAGCCTCTGCAGGGCTCTCAAGGTCATAGCGCCACACATGTTCAGACCCAAACAGCTCTCACTCCTGTCGGGTCTCCAAGACCCTCTCAGCCAAGCAGATGCCACACCAAGCAGTGACAGGAATAAGGAAGGACAGAGTCCCTCAGAGCTTGCATGGGTAGAGGGAGGCACAGCCCACGCCTGGCTTCCGGGGAAGTCTGTGGTCAAAGTTAGCAACCAGCATTTTATTTTGCATGTATTTTGCACTGGGAAAGAATTTTTTTTTTTTCTGACAGGGATTTCACTACGGTGTCCAGGCTGTACTTGAACTCCTGGGCTCAAGCCATCCTCTACATCGGTCTTCCAAGTTTCTGGGACTATAAGCATGCACCACCATGCCTGTCTGGGAAAAGACGTTTTGTTTTATTTTTTTAAAATAAAACTCAAAGCAAAACAGGATTGCTGCTTGGGAGCCCCCAAGACCACCCTTAGTTTCAATAATTTGCTAGGATTCAGAATGCAGTAAAAGCATCACAGTCGTGGTTATGGATTGTTACAGTGAAAGAATACAGATTAAAACCCGTGGCACAGGGTGTGCAGGGAGTATTGCCCTTCCCCACTGGTCATATGGACGGCACCTACTTCCCCATCAAAGATGTGAGGCCCCATGCATGAAGTGTTGCCAGCCAGGAAGGCTTGCCCAAGCCCTGGACATTCAGGGCCTTTACTGGAGGGTGGGCCACACAAACATGGCTGACTGCCTTCCTGGTCTCCACGCCCTTCCAGGGGTCAAGTTGAGTTGGCACACCGTGGCCCAAGGCTCTCACTGCAGGCTGCGTTGTTGGCAGAGACCATCTGGTGTAGCCCATGGCTCCCAGGTAAACAAAGACACTCTTCCAGGCAGGACATTCCAAGGGCTTAGAGGCTGGCTCCCAGCAGCTGGGCAACGGCCAGCCGTGTCTTTGGACAGAGTCACAGAAGGACAGTGTACAGATGCAGAGACCCCAAAACTCAGAGGCAAAACCAAGACCTTGTCAGTCTTACAGAGAATGTTGTTGAACTTGAAAGGACATTTCAGAATCCAAGGGACAATTGTGTGGGAGGGGGGTATTTGTGTGCATGCTGGTGTGTGTGCCTGCCGGTGACAGTGTCCCAACAGGAGCCCCAGAAGTGTGGCGGCAGCCAGGCAGGTGCATTGCTGTCTGTGACAGAAGCATCTGCCCTCCCAGAGGGGGTGCGGTGTGTTGCAAATGAGCATTTCTTTCCACGTGGGCCAATTGGCTTTCAGAGGCACCTGATACTGTCAGAACGAGTCACATGTGGGAGGCTGAGGGCCAAATTAAGTCTGTGAACTTCACGTCAGGCGCTCTGTGAATCTGGAGCTTAAAATAAGAAGACAAACTCATTTGGGGGAGAGATTGAGCCAGGAAATTAAACAGTTTCAAGGAGAAACAGAGGTGCCCGCCTGTGCCAGCCGAGGGTGGTTTGTGCAGAGAGTTGGAAAGTGGCCCTGCCTGGTCCCCGGGGCCTGCTGGAGTGGACGGCCTGCCTGACTCCCACTTGTCGGTCTCAGAGTCCCCATGGTCACAGCTCGATGACTCACCCTGGACAGGTGGGGGTGGCAGCTCCCCCACTGCTCAATCCTGTGCTCACCCAGGACTGGGAAACTTGGACAATTATATAAACAGTACCCTGATGGCCCCAGGAGCTGGTGATTTGGGCTCACCAGTTTAGAAAATGGTCCCTGAATGATTTCAATGGTTTGGATGGGGTGGCCTAGGGAGGCAGCAGTGATAAGTTGGAGAAACACAAACGGGCCCGTTCTGGACGTCCCAATGCCACTCCAGGGAGTGTCGACCTTATCTTGGAAGCCGTGGAGGTTGGCAGCAGTTGAGTGGCAGCGGCCGATTTGTGTGTTGGAAAGACATCTTGGGCAGCCGTAGGGAAGGGAAAGGGGGTGGGGATGTGGTGTCCACTGCAGGCTTCAGCCCCCTGTGACTAGAGGAGAAGCAGGGTGGGTTCACAAGAGCAGTTAGAACTGGGGGCTTGCTCTGGCAACTTCACCTAGTGTTGGGGGTGAGGCTGAGAAGGGACTCAGGGAGCAGAGCCCACCTGGGGAGGGGACGATGATGCCGCTATTTGGAGGGCCCAGTGAGGCACTCATGGAGGTGGCCCATGGTGTGTCATATCTGAGTCGGAGGCCAGGAAGGAATCAGGGCTGTGTAGGTTTGTGAGTGTCTGTTTCAGGGGGCAGCTGAGGCTGAGACTCTCCGGAGACACCATCCGTGGACTTGGCCATGTCCACAGGTTGGAATGGAGCTCTTTGCATTTTAGGCGTCAGCACTGGAGTGGTCCCAGCATCCAGAGCCCCGTTTTGTAGATGGTAAAATTGAGACCCAGAGATGGCAGGGCCCTTGGTCCATGCCATGAAACCCATCTCTGACACTGCCAGGGCGAGGTCCTCCCAAGGAACCTGACCCCAGCGGGCTCTCACTGCAAGCTGAGCACAGGTCTGTGTCTTCCAGGATTACACACGAGTGGTGTGTCCCGTGATTGACATCATCAACCTGGACACCTTCACCTACATTGAATCCGCCTCAGAGCTGAGAGGGGGTGAGTGGGACCAGCACCTTCTCCCCTGAGGACTTTGCTACCCGCTGCTCTAAAGGGGGGAAGGAGGGAGAGTCCTCAGTGGCCTGACACACACTCAGCCTGTGTCCTGCACCGTCATGAGCTCAGCTCGGCCTTAACCCTGGGGCTGTGGGTGGAAGGGCTGGGCGTGGGGGGTGGATAGGCCACCCCCAGCACCCAAAGCTCCAGCTCTAAGAAGAGCTCACACCAGGGCCCAGACCTGATGGGAGGAGGATTCCTGAGTGGCGGTGGCCTGTACCGTTCTGCCACCTTGGCGGTGGGCACCACCTTCTCCTAGAGACCACCCCGGCCCATCCCAGGAGGGACTTGTGGATGATTCAGGTGGTCTAGGGCAGGAGCCCTCAAACTGCGGGTCATGGACAGGTATGGGTCCATGGCCTGGTAGGGACCCGGCCACACAGCAAGAAGTGAGTTGCGGCGAGCAAGCAAAACTTCATCTGTATTGACAGCCGCTCCCCTGTCGCTCACATGTCTGTCTGAGCTCTGCCTTCTCTCAGATCAGCTACTGCATTAGATTCTCATGAGGCCGAGCATGGTGGCTCATGCCTATAATCCCAGCACTCTGGGAGGCCAAGGTGAGAGGATTGCCTGAGCTCACGGGTTCGAGACCAGCCTGGGCAACTTGGCGAGCCCTCGTCTCTACAATAAATCACAAAGAGAGCCGGGCATGGTAGCGCATGCCTGTAGTTCCGGCTACTTGGAAGCCTGAGGTGGAAGTATTGCCTGAACCCAGCAGGTCCAGGCTGCGATGGCTGTGAGTGTGCCATTGCACTCCAGCCTGGGTGACAGAGTGAGACTCCAACTCAAAACAACAACAACAACAACAAAAGATTCTCGTAGGAGCACAAACCCTATTGTGAACTGTGCATGTACGTGGTCTAGGCTGTACGCCACCCGTGTGAATCTAATGCTTGGCGATTCCCTGCCCCACTCCCCATCTGCGGGAAAACTGTCTTCCACAAAACTGGTCCTTGATGCCCAAAAGGCTGAGGATTGCAGGTCTGGGGCTACTCGCAAACCCCCTGCTCACATGTCCAGAGACTCAGGCCAAGGACCAGCGTCCACCCTGTCTCCCCCCGGGCCCTACTCTGCCCTTCAGTCCTAACTCCGCCCATAGAGAGGGTCTGGGGACAGTGAGAGGAGGGGGAGGGAGAGAAGGAAACTGGAATGGCCATGGGCTGACCATCCTGTACGGTACCTTCCTCACTTTCTGGGGACTTGGGTGCCTTCCTCACCTCCTGGGGACCTGGGCACTTTCCTCACCTCCTGGAGACCCGAGTGCCTTATTCATCTTCTAGGAACCCAGGCTCCTTCCTTAACTCCTGAGAATCTGGGTGCCTTCCTCACCTCCTTGGGACCAGGGCACCTTATTCACCTCCTGGGGACCCAGGAGCATTCCTTACCTTCTGGGAACCTGGGTGCCTTTCTCACCTCCTGGAGACTCAGGTGCCTTATTCACCTTCTGGGGACCCAGGGACCATCTTCACCTCCTTGGGACCAGGGCACCTTGTTCACCTCCTGGGGACCCAGGAGCATTCCTCACCTCCTGAGAATCTGGGTGCTTTCCTCACCTCCTGGAGACTCGGGTGCCTTATTCACCTTCTGAGGACCCAGGTGCCATCCTCACCTCCTGGGGACCCAGGCACCTTCCTCACCTCCTGAGAACCTGTGTGCTTTCCTCACCTCCTGGGGACCTGGGTGCTTTCCTCACCTCCTGGGGACCCGGGCACAATCCTCACTCCCTGAGAACCTGGGAACCTTCCTCACATCCTGGGGCCCCAGGAGCCTTCTTCACTCCCTGAGGACCCGGGTGCCTTCCTCACCTCCTGAGGACCCAGCTGCCTTCCTCACTCCCTGAGAACCCAGGTGCCTCCTTGAAACCAGGGCACCTTATTCACCTCCTGGGAACCCAGGAGCGTTCTTCACCCCCTGAGAACCTGGATGCCTTTCTCACCTCCTGGGAACCTGGATGCTTTCCTCGCCTCCTGGGACCCGGGTGCCTTATTCACCTTCTGGGTACCCAGACGCCATCCTCACCTCCCCAGGAGGGGACCCAGATGCCTCCCTCACCTCCTGAGAATCTGGGTGCCTTCTTCACCTCCTGGGGACCTGGGTGCCTTCTTCACTTTCTGGGGACCCAGGCACCTTCCTCACTTCCTGAAAACCTGTGTGCTTTCCTCACTTCCTGGGGACTCGGGCACCTTCCTTACTTTTTGAGGACCTGTGTGCCTTCCTCACTTCCTGGGGACCCGGGTGTTTTCCTCACCTCCTGGGGACCTGGGCACCATCCTCACTCCCTGAGAACCCGGGCGCCTTCCTCACCTCCTGGGGACCAGGGTGTCTTCCTCACCTCCTGGGGACACAGATACCTTCCTCGCCTCCTGAAGAAAGGGCAGTGGCTCCAGGAGCCTGGGTATGTTCAGAATGAGCGCGTACTGGGAGTCCTTCTGAGAGACCCAGGCAGCGCCCATGCTGTGTTTCAGGGTTTGACTGGAGTCTCCACTTCCAGTGGGAGCAGCTATCCCCAGAGCAGAAGGCCCGGCGCCTGGACCCCACGGAGCCCATCAGGTAAGCAGGAGGGCCAGGGCGGTGGGCAGGCAGATCACTGCACACAGTCTTTCCTGCCATCGCGTGGTGTGGGGCACTGGTGTTAGATGTCAGAGGACTGGGCAGAGACAAAGGGGACTCATTGCTAGACCGCTTCCATGGTCGCCCTGCTTCTGGGAGGTTTTCATCTTCGTGGAGACAACTGCCTAGGGGGAGGGGTCTGGTGTGACCTGTCCCGAGTATCATGATGTCCTCATGCTCTGCCAGCGTTGCAGGAGCCCACGTCAAGGCTGGATGGTCCCCTTCGGGCCTCTAGGGAGGGAAGGACGGTCCTTTAGCACCAGGAGCAAAGCCCCAGGTTTCAGCCCAGGAAGTACAGCCAACCAGTGCTGCTGTCAGCAGAGGCAGACGCAACACAGGACCACCGCCGCGTACTCGCAAGCACGTCTGCCCCAAACAGTGTGAGTGTGTCACAGTGACCTGGACTCTGGCCGCCTTGCTGTGCTGTGTGTGACTGTCCTGACACACATTCTCTCCAGGCTCCACGGTGGCCCACACCGCATGGTGACAAGGTGTCTCCTGGGGCCTGGGGCCCATCTCAGGGCTTGAAGTAGCAGAGAGCATAGTGGCCACCCCATGGAGGAGCCTGTGATCAAGGTGTCAACAGCCAGTGTGGCCTTGATGTCCACCTAAGACTAGACGATAAACCTGTCCCAGGTCTCTCGGAAATCTCCAAACTTCAGCAGGTCTTGGGCAGGGAGGCAGAGTGTGAGAAGTGCTTGGAGGACTGCGGAGGGCACGGTTTGGGACTCCCTGGCCCGGCAACGAAGGGATGATCCGACCGTCAGGCCACCTCCTTGTCTCTGCTGCTGCCACACAGGAGATGTCTGGCCTTTTCCTGGATCGACTGAAGTCTTACTGAGGACTGCACTCAGTCTGCAAGTGTTCTCCAGAGGGATGGACCACTAGGGTACAGTTAAATTCAGAAGGGAATGTGTCAGGGAGGACGGGCTCCCGTGATGACAAGGCCAAGGTCCCCGATGGGCTGTCCGCAAGCTGGCAGCGAGGAACACCAGGAGGAGGCTCAGTCCAGGTCAAAAGCCCCAGAACCGGGGAGGCCGACACTGCTGCCTGTGTCTGAGCCGAAGACCCCAGAGCCCGGGGAGGTGCTGTTGCAAGTCCCAGAATCTGAAGGCTGAAGAATCTGGAGTCTGACATTCAAGGGGAGGAGAGGAGAAAGGGATGAACCCAGTCAGGGAAGGAGAAGGAGGGGGAGACTCAGTCACTTGGCCCCTTCTCCCACCTGTTGTGTCGTCTCCGCGGGCCACAGGGTGGACAATGCTGCCCACGTTGAAGTCCCAGCTAAAGTTTGAAGTTTTTTTTGTTGCCCAGCCTGGTCTCAACTCTTGGCCTCAAGTGATCCTCCAGTCTTGGCCCCAGAGCACTGGGATTACAGGTGTGAGTCACCACACCCAGCATTTCTCCTTTTTATCAAGACCCCAGTCATAACCCTAATGACCTTGATGTAACTTGATTACCTCTTTAAGGACCCTCTCTCCAAATACGGCCACATTCTAAGGTACTGTAGTCAGGACCCCAACATACCATTTTTTAGAAGGGGATGCAATTCAACTTGTAACAGAGGGGTAAAGAGGGAGAGAGGATCCAGTTTCAGAAAGCAGAAACCTCAGCCCTTCTTCCCCGCCTGGTCAGTGACTGTGGCCCCTGTCCTCAAGAATGGAGGACAGCCTCTCCAAAGGGAGTCCACCAGGCAGGGCCTTCGGGGGAAGCCACAGAGTTCACGGTCATCAGAGTAGCTGGGTCCTGAATGAACCCTGGCCCCACAAGGGTATGCTGATGAGTGATTGTGCCTGCCTTAAGGCTGGGAGAGTCACAGACAGAGGGAAAACCCTGGAGCTCGTTCTTGCTTTGGCCTTCTGAAGACAAACAAGAACCGGAAGACATGGCCTTGAGCTCCAGACTCCTGGGGCACAGGATCTGAGCATAGCCCCTCATGACTGACCCCCCCCTTTCCTTCCACACTCACAGGACCCCCATCATCGCGGGGGGCCTCTTTGTGATCGACAAGGCCTGGTTCGATTACCTCGGGAAGTACGACATGGACATGGAGATCTGGGGCGGCGAGAACTTTGGTGAGCCCCTGTCCGTGACACCACCCTGGGCACCACAGGGTTGGGGGGACCTGTGTCCTCATGTGACCTGAGGAATCCAGGGTTCCTCTGCCTGGTGAGTGACACACAGCTCTCCATGAGAACACAGGTTTCTGTCGTTTGTTTGGTTTTTTT